GGGGAGTAAATAGTGAATTATAGATCCTTCAGCTTAACTTCAGTATTTGGAAATTTACTGGAGCAATCCGCCAGCTTTTTAGTATCTTGAGGATAACAAGGTGGTAACGAACAGTGAATATGGATTTGTGAAGAACATGTTGACAACAAGCAAACCGGATCTCCCTTGCTTTGATATAATAACTAGCCTAGCAGATGCAAGATGAGAAAAACACAACACTTTCTGACTTTTGTAAGATATTTTACAAAGCTCTACAATTCACTGTCAAAAGTAAGATGGGGCAATATGGCCCAGGTAAAATAAGAGTAAGACAGACTGGAAAATAACTCAAAGAGTAGATACCATAGCTCAGTGTCTCAGCTAATGCGAGATAACACCAAATGACCATGCCAGACTTTGTTTCATGTCCAGGACTATTCATTTATACTAAGTATTTATACTAACACCTTGGATGATGCAGTACAGTTGTAAAATGTGAGGATGACATCAGGCTGGGAGAGGCTGCAAGCACTTGTGAAGATGGAGTTAGAATTAGAAATGATCCTGATAAACTGAATAAAGTGAAAGAAATCAATATGAGAAAATTCAATAAGGGCAAATTGAAAACACAAGCCTTAGAATGGCTAAATCAAATGCCCAGGAATATGGGAGTAAATAATAGCCTAGGAATCAGCACTGTAAGAAAAGAGCTGACTACAAACTGAATAGGAGACAGAGCTTCAATGCATAGGTTGTGGTAAAGGAGGAAAATGCTGCTCTGCACTGCACCAACAGTGTGCCATGTGCCTTGTGTGTTCTGCTTATGTGAAGCACTTATACTGGCATCCTCAGCACAGACAAGCAGTGCATCACAGCTTAAAGAAGATGCAGCCAGATTCCCCCAACTAATCTCAGGAGGATAGCAAAAAATTTGAACAACAGTTGGGAAAAACAGAACTTGTGAAAAGGTTTAAAATTTGTATATGCTGAGTCGAGAAAAAGAAGATCAGATTTTATTAACAAGTGTGATAAGAAGAGTGGTGAACTACTTATTTTCTTAGATTCCAGGGGCAGTTGGGGGTGCAGTAAACCTACTTTGAAGCAAGAGGAATTCAGGTTACAAGCAAACCAAACTTTTAGTATCAGGTGGGTGAAGTACTGGAAGAGCCGACTGACAGAAACAGTGAAATCTGCACTTTTGTAGCTTTTTACATAAGGTTAGCGAGTAGGCTAATGGAAGTTGTTCTGGTGACTTTTGATCTTTTATCACAAGCAAAAGACAGAAGGAAGCTAGGAAAGTCCTATATTTCTGTGACCCCAAAACATAAAATCACATCTTACAGTGTAATTAAAAAAAAAAAAAAAAAAAAAAAGCTTGAGTACTCATTTTGCCTTAGTCTTCTTCTTTGGGTCCTTTCACCCTTTTGCTTCCTCCTGTTACACTGAATCCACACGTGCTGTGAATTGCCTCTCCTGTGCAAGTGCTCAAATAAACCAGTTTATTAAGTGGTAGAAGCATGGCTGACACTTTTAAGCATATGTGAACATAACAAATGAACCTTAGGATGCTTAGTGCTTCTTGTGGCCATTAGAAAATATATGAAGAAAAAATCCTCAATCGTCATGAGAAATTAGTTTTTTCCAGGAAGGGAGATGACCAGAAGGTGTTTATCTGTGATTGCTGTACTGTGGGGCTGTCTGGGAACAGTGAATTCACCCCAATGGCACTCTGCTCTCACTTCTGTAACAGCAGTGGGAGCATGACAGGTAGATCAGGCCCAGAGTCTTGTATGCCTAAATGTCATTTTTTAAGATTATCTCTGAGATTGTACCCTTAAACTCTGTATTTTTGTGTTATAGAGTATTCTGTAATCCCTACAACGGCACGAAGGCTGTAATTTTATTTCATAAAATGATCATCAAATGTTGTTGTATTGATTCAGAAGGGGCTTCTGTTTCTGTATATGTTAACTGAAGCTTTGTGAAAGCTCAAGCTAATATAAAAATGGTAACTAGGCAGAACTTCCCATAGCTTGTAAAAGACCAATCTTCCCCATTGCCTTTCAAATCCCTATATAAGAAAAACTACCCACGCACTTTTCTTATTGATTCCTATCTCAGAATACAGTTTCACAGTGAAAGTATTCAAGTGAAAATAATTAACTGGTCCTTCCTGGTAAGTGCAAACACATTTCCAGTAAAACAAATTGTCTCCATCATAACTTGTTCAACATCATAGGACACAGTAAGTAATGCACATTTTACATTAGTTCAGGAACAGAAGACCAGAGCTACCTCTGCCTTTTAAAAATGATCAGAACTTACCGTAACAGTATATGTTCTTTCTCACCTCCTATAAGCTCACTTTTCTTTTTGTCTAAATTCACTTACAGCTGGCATTGATTCACTTCTGGCCTATGCATTCTTACTTAGCAACACCCTACATTATTGCATTCAACCTTGGATGTGCATATTTCAAAAGCAAGAAAAGTGCTTTTCCTTGCATAAGACTGTATTTTCTCTAAAAGACTCTGGCCTAGCCTCTAGATTTGTACAGACTTTGCATAGAACAAATTTCAGTTGCTTTACTCATTTGCACCCTTCAGCATACACAGGTGAATGGAAACATGAAGATATGACCAGAGGTTCTGCAACAGGCACAGAAAAGAATTACAGCTCCTAACCGTACACTTTGTAGGCAGCTTTGACATTCAGATGGCAGAGTTAAATGTTTATATTCTATCATTTGTGCCCATTAGCCTATTAATTGTCTCATTAGCAACAATGAATAACTGCGGGCACAAAATAGGTCTAAAGAAATGAAAATTTTATTCAGGTGCTATTTATATTACTGTGACATAATTTGGAATGGAAGCACAATATAAATTCACAGTATTACCTGTCAAAAAACTATCACATCTTCTCCAGCCACTGAAACATCTTCCCTTCAAGAAATACTTTTCCTGCCAATCACATGATAATAAGCAAAAATAGAGCTTAAATGAAATTTTCTGCTTTTTAATGTCAGAATGATCTCCACTTGCATAATAGGAGGGGATTGGATTTCTTAATCAATATTTCATTCACCTAAAATAAAAGAGTATAATATAATAAAATAAAATATACTATAAAGTAATACAATGCAAAATAATATGACATACATGGAATGCATGGGGTCCATTTCCCTTAGAAGATACGACACGCTCATGAATATGCAGTTTTGTGATCCTAGGAAGGCAAACCCAACTCATATGCAACTCACATCCATAGCTACTTGCACAGTTCCAAGTCACTTTTAAGTCCAGGTTTTGAGTCACACTGAAGTAATTATCAGATTTGATTAGATCTGTTGCTGCTAATTTCTAGATAAATATTGAAGTAATAAACCAGTGAATGTGGCCGGCTTTCGAAGCCACAGTGAAAAGTTAGGAACATTTTTAGGAACATATAAATAGGAGAGAGCTATCTTGCAAAACCCGAATAGGGAAAGCATTGCAGGCTGCTGGAGTGATGTGGAGACATGACAGTCTGAGCTGTCCTATTTCTGCACAGAAACAGCTTCAAGCAAAACTGCTCAAAGCTGGAACAGGGTTTTCTGCTTGTTCCTTGCTTTGTCTATGGCACCCTCTATGCTCCCTGCATCTTCCACCTGCCCCAGGGGGCAGAGGCTCCCAGAAGAACCCCTTCCATGGCCATTTTGATGAGGAACTCTCTTGGGCAGAGAGCTGGAACCCTGCTGTGGAGGTCTTAGGGTCCCCCTGTGACAGCAACACCACAACACGTGGGGCAGGGAGCTGGCGAGGCAGCTGGAGAGGTGGCCTTGACTAAGCAGAACTATTACTGCTTCTTTTCCTGTACCACATGAGGGAAGAGGAAAGTGCAAATTTCCTTGTGTGAAGGAATCCTGCTGTTCTGCTTGTGAAGGTTTTCACCTGTTGCTGCAACTTTCCTTAAAAGACACAGGAAACTTTCTCTGATGACAGTCCCCAAACTCCACTAATTTCGGTCAGTGCAGTCTGTAGCTGTAGTCCCTAACCATTTTGCTATGAAGGAAAATTGAATGAACTACAAGAAATGTGAACAGTGATTTGGAAAGAAATATGTCAACGATGATAAAACTTCTGATTTCTGGTTTAACATTCATTCAGTATTTCAGGAGTAGCTGTAGCGCCTGTCCAATGCTATTAATTAGCACAACTGAACTTCATTCACTGTAACCATTCTTTTCAAACACATATATTGTTATTTATTCCCTATTTTGTTTTCCCACAAGGCACATTTCAAAACAGCATGTGCTGTTTCTGATGCAATACCATATCAATCTGATTATATCGTACATAATGAAATATGCCCTAAGATAGAGCACTGCAAGATATTTATTTAGAAGGACACCTTTGATGTCATGTGAACTAAGGAAATCTTTAAATTCTACTGAAATAAAAGTGAAATTTGGTGTCACTGTAATCAATCTTGATCCACTGCACAAGTCAGAGCTCTCAACAAGTGCAATTCTAATCTACTTCCAAACACAAGCTTCCAAGCAGACAGCCAAGACAGGCGGATTAGCTCTTTGAACAGGAATTTTCTGTGAGTACAAATAGAAACGTATGGCTCTAACGCCTATTTAACAAATCAACTTTTCAATTAGAAGAGTTTTACAACTTGTTTAAGAATAACATGCCCATGTCACTGTCACCGTCACTCTTAAGGAATGTATGGGTTTAAAATTAGAGCCTCCTTGAACAGAATTTTGAGGAGCAAATAATGGAAGTATTCCTAAGCTCTTTATATGGATACCAATGACTGCAACAGACAGCTACTTAATATTTCTCAAGAAACTGTTTTAGACAACTTGTCTAGATCCTGGAGAACACAGCAGATGCATTTGTTTCTTACCAACACAAAAATACAACACTTCTTGGAACTTCCCTGTTTTCAAACAATCCACCATATTCAACAAAAAGCTATAAGGAAAACAGGTAACAGCAAAGAGAAAAAGAAACAGTGGTGTTACAACATACCTTTCACTACGTTTGCACTTCTCTGCACTCCTGTCATTTGCTACAGCAGCTCAGCTTATCACTGCCTTTCCCTCATACACTCCTGGGCAGCACAACAGGCACTTCGGCAGCTTTGTTCTCTTTAACACAATCGGCTCTAAAGAAAAAGTTTCATTTGTATTATAGTATGTGGTAGTTTTCAAGGAAAAAATAGACATCACCCCAAACCAATCAGAATATTCTTTGTCCGAAGAACTAGCCTCTTTCTCAACTGATGCACTAGTATGTGAATGAGGCCAGTAATCCATGAGGTGAGGTATACAGAAGCCATTCATTCAAAAAGATGCCGAGAGAACATAAGCTACGTGGGTGGATGGTGGGAACAATAGCAAACATTTCATGTTGAGGTGGCTGGGAATGAATAATGCATGTGTTGGGGAAACAGTTGCCCCATTCTGGCGTGGGGAGGATGGAAAGCGTGGGTGTGGGAGGTAATTTCCTGATCAAGTTAGCATTTCCAATTAAAATCATCATCTGCCTAGACCCAGAAGACGCAGCATGATGATGAAACAATGCATATATATCCAATGGGGAACCAATTACTGCTATATGGACCCACAAAGAAAGCTGCTCAGATGCAAAAATAATATTTTATGTAGGCAGGCAGGCAGACATACAAAAATGAAACCAAAAGACCAAGAGAAATGTTAACAGACTACGTGCTCTTTTGATCTATATTGTTTAGATATGCCATATAAATGAATGCTTCATCTCAGCTGAACCATCCTTTCAAATTATTGTTAATTAAGTAATAATCCCTGAGAAATCTGTCATTACCAACAGTTAGGAACTGGTTTATTATGTTTGCCCTAGGCTATTAATGCTCAGACACAATGGCCACTAATTGCAGTAAGAACTAATTTCCCTAGAAAGGCACATGCATCTTTTAACTATCCGGCAGCACATTTTTGTTCTAAAACTTTACTTTTAACTTGTGTAACTGAAGCATTGATCAGCCAGAAATTCTTTAATCATTCCTCAAAGAAATCACCATTAACAAAAAGAAGGCAGATATTCATTAGTGTTGTATGCTCTTAAATTTCTCTTGCAGACAACAACAACGACAGGGGTTATAATCCCTATAGACAATACATCAGCTCCAAATCCAGCAATGCCAGCAAAAGCATTTTCAATCAACGCAATGAGCTTTGGATCAGTCCCAATAATTCCTTTAAAAATAACGGGGGGGGGGGGGGGGGGGAAGGGGGAGTGCCTGTTATTTCCTAGGTTCACATTATAGTTCTTCTTCTGTAACAAATTATTAAAACAATAAGAAATTCCTGGGACGTCAATGACCAAACTATGACACTTAATTCTATCAGCTGTTTTCAGAGTAGACAAGCCAGCCAGCCATAAGAATTACCATTAAGTATTGTTAAAGGGATAAATTGACAAAATTAATCCAGAGGCAGGGAAAAATCTGGAATTTAAAGTGATTTGCTCAACAAACACTTCTTTCCTCTTCTCAGGAGCAGAGTGTAAGGAAAAAGCTGCCATTGTCATTGCATTTTAATGGCACCCACATCACAATTTTAAAAGAACTGCCATTTCAGCTATTTCTTAAATAACCTCTTTTTCCCTCCATAATCATGTAATATATTTCTTTCACCTTTTGACTAGTATGTTGATTTTTTTTTTCTTTTTTAAATAAACTTACACATTCATTTTGCAGGAAATTGTATTTTAAAATGCCTCTCAAAGGTTTTTTTTTTATCCTAACACTTTCATTTGGGTTGAATTAATGCTGAATCCTGATTTGCAAAAATAGAGGGAGAAGAAGAGAGGGAGAGAAAGAGAGAGAAAAAAGAAGCTTAGCTGGTATCTCAGCTCCAAACACACATTTCCAATTCATGTTTCACAATCAATCTTATTGCAACCTTTATCTGTACTAATGGCATTATTCTGATACTTCTGAAGCACAAACAGTATCAGTGTAGTTATCTACTGGACTGGATAGTCAAATCAGTTTTCTCCCCCTTTCTTCCCCTGTTCACATTTTGCTCTCGAGCCTTCAATGCCAGCTCTCACTTTATAGTTTTTATCCTTTTTATTCTTTTTTTCTAAATTCTTTTTTTTTTTTTTTTTTTTTTTTTAATATGTTCTTCTCTCTCTTTTTTCCCCATTAAGATTCGAATAGGCCAGTACCTCAGCCTATATGTCTAACATAAGTGAATAGACTTGCAGAAAAGCAGGGTCTCCTTTTGTCTGGGCCCATATGGCTGTAAGTCATTCTGTACAGATAGGCAAGGGCTTCTCTCTCTGTGGGAGATTTCCAATAATTGCCAGAACAAATTAAACTGAGGCTTATCTATCCCTCTCTCCTTTCCAGCTTGAAAATGGAGGGAACTGAGGAACAAGACCAGTTTTAACAGGTGACAATGCAGCGTAGCAATAGATTGGATACAGCTTGTGTGAAGTCGTGTTGCAGCCAGCAGTGGCAGGACACTGCTTTGAGAAGTGGAGTGGTGGGTGATGTGCTCCATGGACCCAGCCAATCCTTCTGATCTGACAAATAAAAAATGAAGTGGAGATTATGAGTCCATATAATCCCCATTGTGTCAGGCAGAATTAAGAAAGGGAGTATTTCTGGTCATATCTATGTGGACTGGGCTGCCCAAAAAAAGCAGAATGGAATGTTGTATATAAAAAGGACAGACATGGAATACCTTGGGAAAAAAAAAGACAAGAAGTGCATAAGAAGTTCTCTGATATTCCCTCTCACACTCCCTACACCATCTCTCCCAGCATGCCCACCACATGCCTTAGTCTATGGACAAGTGTCATGAAGTGCAGAATTAACTCTTACAGAGAAGTAATGAGGAGGGCTCTGTTTTGCCTCTGTGGTGAGCATTTGGTTGTCTGGGGCTGAAAAGAGTGTTTTAAGAGATAATATAGTTATCAGACACATATTTTCTATAGCAATGAGCTGTCATCTTCTTTTGCAGATGAGATAAAGGGAGTTCAAAGTGCTTTCTTCAGGCAAAGATACACTCAAAGCCATGCAGTGGAAATGAATTCTTTGTCAGTGTCTGACAGAGAGAGATGTGAACCATCAGATTTGAAAGGGACCTTTAATTTTTGGGGCTGATGAATGCCAGTGAGAAGTATTAGGTTCTTCTCTTGACCGACATGATTACTGCTATCACATGAGAGTATGTCAGACACTTTTCAGCATACTGCTGTCTGTCAAGCACTGAAAAACCATCATTCACTGTAAGCTAACTTCTCAACAATCACACTCCCTCAGTCAGGATGTCCAATTCTCATAGTCAATGAGAAATTAATGTGAAAAAAAAAAAAATTCAGCAGTAGTCAATGTTACGTTACTTCTGTTTTTCTCTCTGTACTATTTGGCAACTATTCACGCAGAGAACCTTCCTATGTGTCCTCAATCACTGACATTCTGATGGGTGGCTGTGTCAGGGTGGAAGTTAAGCTGAAACAGAAGGGGCAAACACTAGGACCGATAGGACCTGAAGGCAATAAGGAAACGGAATAAATTGAAGGTTGGTGTGGTGCAGAAAAAGTGACTGAAGGATCAGTGTAGAAAGAGATGAGATAGGATAATTTGATGAGCAGAAGAAAGGTTCTCTTATGAGAGCAAAGAGAGAGACACTGCATTGTAAAGCCTCTACATCACCCATAGCAGATTTGGAAGATGTGGTTAGATGAGCAGATGAAACTACAGTCCTTTAATCCAGTCTTTTCTCAGGCAGCTCCTAACTATCCAACATTTTCTGGGTTTAAGATTCACCACTCTCCCATATGATCTGCCAAACTGCTGACCGTTTGCTGCTCACGAAACACGGATTCTGAATATAAAATACAAAAAAAAAATTCTGAAGCAGCTTGTAATAGGGCATGCAAAAACAATGGCCTCTGTGACTCAGTTCCTCATTTTGCACAGAGGGAATAACGTGGCATCAGTATCTCATTTCATTCAAGCAATGAGAAGATACCAAAATCACTAGTCATTTTTGCAAAACAGGGAGTAGCAGAGAATTTGAAATCACACTGTCCTTGTTTTATCACTATCCCACATCATGGCACCATGCAGTAGGCTGTCTGATGCTTAAGCACAGTGCTGGGTGCATTCCTCATTTACTACTTCTAGCAGACTCAGCTATTTCAAGTGAGTTCTGGCTCTGGGAGATGTGATCTCCCAATTCCAGGTGAGTGCAAGCTCTCTTGTCTTTTACAGGAGGCCAGCCGTGGAGGGCCTGCCGATAAAGACTCAGACTGACTCTCTTTCTGTCTCCTCTGATTCCTCTTTGGTTCATTTGATTTATTATTCTCAATTATTCTGTATTATCTCACATTCTGTTTAATAAATTAGTTTCTCCTATCTCAATTGAGTTTCTTTCTCTTCCTTCCCCCCTACTCCCAAGGGGGTGAAGGGGTGCCGCATGATTAACTCTTCAAACTGCGACACAGTTATATACTTGTACCTATAGCTGAATGAAACGGCTAAATACACAGAAGATGAAGTGGACCAACTCAAGAACCATATCACATTTACTGAGATTATTATGACATAAAATTTTCATTTGCATTATTTCTTTGGGGGGAACAAAGAATTGAAGGGTCTGTAGAGATATGGAGATTTTACGGACTTTGAAGACCATTTACAATTGCAACTAATTGCAGCATGGCACAAGTTACAATGCTGATGTGAGGCCAAATCCATTTATACTCTATACAGATTCTCTTCAGTATCATGGCCAGGGAAGCGTTGGAGTAGCCAGCCTCAGAAGTACATAAAAGATGTGTGGACATGGCGCTCAGGGACATGGTTTAATGGTGGACCTGGTAGTGTTAGGTTGATGGTTTAATCTGGTGATTTTAAAGGTCTGAAATGATTCTATAATTCTATGGTATTTGGCATAGAACTCTGGACAAGAGTTAGGCTAGCACAGGAAAGCGCTAAAATTTTGCTGATGTCTTTTATACAGATGAGTTCACTCTAGCATCACATACCAAAAGCAAAAACATAATAACAAAAAGGAAATCGTGAAAAATCAGAGGCA